AATTGGCAGCAGAAACCCTGCTGTCAGGACTCCCAGATTGTTGGTGGACATGAAGCTGCTGCACTTTCCCCAAAAATGCTCTTAACCACCAGCAACTCAACTGGTATAATTGGTTACTGTGGGTAATACACTTGGGCCTTCATCAGAGATCATTATGGATTCCTGGGAACAGTTAAGTGATGTTGAGATCAGGTAGCAAAGAATACACTGACAGCAAGCAAAAGCAGTCGGCTCAGAGCAAAGAGCAGGGACTGTTTTCACCATTCCCCTCATGTTGGGTCCATGATCAAGTCAAAAGGTCGAGTGAGAGGCCAATGCGCACTAGGCAGCAAGTAAATATTTCCCCACATTGCAAGTCCTCCCCCCATCTGCACTTGTATGGCCTTGGCAATGATGGGTGGGTAATTTAAATGGGTAATGGTTATCCAGTTAAAGGCTTCATTTGATATACAGACAGGAAAGTTGTCCGAGAGCCTTTCTATCTCGGATTTAATTAGGAGGTGGCTGTATCACACATTGCAGCCTCCCACTAATAAACATAGCCTGCCTCAAAAAAATTGTTTCCTGCACAGTATACCCATTAACCCAACTATCGTCTGTTCAACCAAGCTTTGCACTGGAGTATTATATTGTACTTCAAAAGGAGTTCAGTTCACAAAAAGCCCGGCTGAGTCGATCAGAATCCTCAGTTGAGGATTGTAGCTACGCATGATGCAGCACGCAGTCAGTCAGACAATTCCAAAAGTAATTCCCATAGAAAATGAGACAGTTATAGAAGGTCATAATACAACACACAGCCACTTTCATCAATTTCAACATTCCAATTAACTCATCTTAACTTTCGACAAACATATTGCTTGTTTTTAAAATACTTCATAATTAGTGAATGTCCTGCTTCACTAGCTGGCTTTGTTAACATTTTCAATTGGACTTGTCACAAGGTTTGGTATCTTGTTCAAAATCTAAATGCACATCTTACTTATTTTGGTTATTTTAGTTTCATCTCCTAACCTTAACTAATAAAATTAAATGATATTGACTACTTATTAGAATCATCATTGCTTTTGTGCCTGCATATACCAACCTGCAAGCCAAAAATTTTGCAGATTCAATTACAACATATTTTCATTAATGGTTGCAGTAGATCCATTGTGAATGATGTCAACATGAACTAGAGACTTCTTTTGATTCTTGTCCTTTTGCCTGATAACGCAGACAAATCTTGCAGAACAGTTGGATAGTGATGTGAATGATCTAGCTCTCAGATTCCTTTCAAACGTGCAAATTATGAGGAAATCATCATCTTTTAGTACCATGTTCCAAGCACCAGCTAAGTCTCTATTAAACTTAAGAATGGAATTTAATGATAATTAGTTTTCCCATTGTTGTCCATCATTTGTTACAAAATTTGACAATTTAAACTTAAGAATTATTTTTCAGTAATAAAACATCCAAACTGAAGATGCTCAACTTGCACCATTGTATCACATTGACTTCTTTTCTAACAGAACTGATTGCACATTACCCCATGTACTGCAGCAGTTGAACAGATTAGCTCACCATTACCTTCACAACGGTGTTTAGAGATAGACTATAAATGCTGACCTAACCAGCTCACATCCCAGGAACAAACAGAAAAATATGCTAATATCAATCCAATTATCAAATGGTTAATGTTGTCTGTCCACATACAGATCACCATATTCACCTCAAACTATATGATGATGCATGGTGCTAAGTATTCTAAGCAGATGGAAAATATACAGAAAAACAAATCATACGTAACACATTTGCTCCTACATTAAATAAACCATACTGGGTCAGGTGCCATATATAAACTTAATATTTCATTCTCTACATGATTTAAGAGTGTCATCAACCTGTAGATTGTTTTTCTGCAGTCTTTTTCTGAGAACCAGTTTAATTCTGATGTCAAACATATATTAGTTCAAAGATGGAACTTTAGCACCATTGTATTTGTTTACATGCCTTGTTTCAATGAGTGAAAACCATCCAATAACTGATCACTATTTAATTTTGTGTGGTTGTTACTGAAAACTGAGCAAAGGTTTTAAACTTTCTGTTCAAATAGATCATGTGGATAACACAAGGGAAGAACTTGAATGCAGTGAATTTAGATTATCTTTAGATCTAGCTTATCTAACCAAAATTCTACTTTCTGTTCTCAAACCTTTTGTTACTGGATTGATAGAAGCAATAAAAGGATGCTATTTGTACAGCAATATGAAATGCAATAGAGGAAACCCACCTGCAGCCTTAATAAAAGTCATTACTTTTAACCAAATCATTGGGATTTCAGGAAATCTACTGTATTATATCTACCAGCATCAATTTGCAAAAAAAAAAACTTAAAGCAGTTACAACTCGGGTAGCATTAAAAAGCTTTGGTTGAAATGGGAATGTTATTATTGGTCATGGTGTCTGCACCTTAACTTCATCATACTGAACTTAATTAAGATTTTTAATTAATCTTTGGTAGCAAACAGTCAGCACAAGAACAACATGAGCTATACATGGGAATTGACATTTGACAGTTCAACTTCAAACTTCAGCATATTTTAGAAAAGGCTGTCACTCACTTTGCATTGACAAATGTAATATCAATGGTTTGAACATCAATCATGACTATAATTGCCAAAATAAGTCAAAGCATAATTTGTGTCAAAATTAATTTGACTCAAAGAAGTTCTCTTTCTAAAATTCAATTTTTTTGTTCTGAAGCTCAACCCAGGTGTCATATATTAATATCTGCAATGAATGATCTTGACTTTTACACAATCAATAGCAATCTATCATAATTCTTGATTGGTCATATTGACTGAAATTAAGAAAACATTTCATAGACCCAAGTCTTGCAAAATGCCTAATGGATTTTAAAAGAATGTACTTTTGAAATCATTCAAGTAATTCACGATGGTGAAGTATATTTTGGGCAAATTACAAATTACTACTTTGTGATTTCTTTTTGCACTGCTTAAGAAGAAATATTTTTGCAACATTTTGCAATGAGTTACTTTTAGTGACAACAGTACAACAAAAATTTAAAACCCAGCTACACTGAAAATAATGTGCTAGGCACTGAAGTTCCGCTCAACTATCACATTAAAGAACTTGGATTTATTGATGCCAGGATTTCAAATTGTAATAAACCATTAGTCAGCTTTGAAGATGAAATGAGAACATCTCCTACTGCCTTAGCTGCAAGGAGGTTATTTGAAAATGTATTCACTGATCTGACCCCCCTTATCGAACATAAAAAGGATAGCTGAACTAATTTCAGTCCAGTATTGTCAAACCGCAGACATACCTAGATAGCCAATGCAACCAATCATATATGTAGGTCATCTTGATTGACAGGCAATTCAACTAATGATTCCACTTCTTTTACAACAGCTGCATTCAAGGTACAGTCAGACTCTAGTCAGACAGAAATTTTCCAGTCACTTTCAACTGACTGCCCTTCTGTTAGGGCATGCAGTTCATGTGGGAGACTGTTCTGCTTCTGTTTGTGTTTTCTTCATTGCAGATCTGGCTGAAAGCTGCTTAAACACAAGCTAAATTAAAGCAAAGGCTACTGCATCAGCTGTACATCCAGAAGACCCTACTCATTTGTCTGAATGGTGTGTGGCCCCAGGTTGGGTCCCTCTGAATTAAAAAAAGAGCGCTCTCAACATTTAAGGTTGGGTGTGGACAGAAAGTGTGGATATGATGCCCAGAAACAGGTGAAGCACCTGACCACAACACTTATCTCCTTGGCTCTGGAGGGGGGAGGGTGAAATTTGACAGGGAATCCACTTGCACCTTCTCTTGTTAATGGGCTGTCCATTTGGATATCAGCCTGGTTGACAGACTCTCTAATCTGGCAGGGTGGATAGACCACACAGAATCATGCATGCCTGATCTATGACTCAGGATTGGAGTGGGGAGATATATGGGTGATGGTGGCTACACACATATGATGCACAAGGAATGTCAAAGATGCTTAACCTCTCCCCAAAGTTGTCCACGTTTCTGTTTAACTGATGGCTTTCCTTAGTCCCACAAAATCTCTTAAAAAGTTGAAGAAGAGGCTGCCAATCTCAGTAAAACATTCAAATTCACCACTCACCTCATAGATAAGGGGTAGGCTGTCAAAACTGTATCAACCTGGAAGTATGCTACTAGGTTTGAAGTTACTAATTTTTTAAATTTTAAACCGTGACTTGATCCAAACCCACATATGAATTTAAAGCAAATGCAGGACTCAGAAGTTACGCATTCTACCTTCCTCCTGCTCAGTCAGGTCATTGGTCCATAGTTCCATGAAATTCCAGGGTCTCTTGTCAAAATTATGTCAGAGAAGTTCAACCATACTAGCAATTATTATTATACAACAGTTTTACTTTGACAGCAATTATTTTCACGAAAATGCTCAATACAGTCAACTAAATAATACAAACTATATTAAATACCGTCCTTTCAGCACTGGTGGTACTTAAAGCTTCAAGTGCTCCCATTCTACGCGATGCTGATTAAGTTTGGGTTTTGTCTCTCCGAACGCAAACAATTATTCCTCCATTTACACAGTGACTGGGGAAAAATATTTACATTAATTTAGATACGAAAATTATCCTGATCACAGATTGCACAGACACAATCTGATCCAAGAACCATTTAGCTTCATTCAAACAAAGAATTAATGTGTGCAAAAGATGCAGGTTTTTTTCTCTGTGCCTATGCACTAATTGCTTAAATGCTTGCTTGAAGATGTGACTCGTCATGCTGTCAGTGACAGATGTGCAATAGTGTTCTAGAATCACACGAAGTGTGTTTGCGATACTCTGAGAAAAATGATAAAGGCCATCACTAATTATTTAAGATCATATCTGGATTTAGTAACAAAGAAAACAAACTAACCTATAAAACAGGCAGTAGGCAGTGGTTAATAACTAGTTTCCAACAGACTGCTTTCTCAGTTCAGAGTAGATAAAGAGACTTACCTGTCTTCAGGTTAATAGTAAAGAAATTCTGGGGATTCCCACTTGTAATCCTAAAGGTCATTTTATCACTAGAACTGGAGTCTGGATCATAGGCCTGAATCTGAACAATGGGAACATCTTTGGGAGAATTTTCCATAATTGACGGATGATAAATAGGTTGAGAACATATTGGCGCATTGTCATTTATGTCTTCAATCTCAATGTAGATCTCAATAGATGAAAATAGCGGAACAACTCCATAGTCAGTAGCATACACAGTCAGCCAATAGGATGAAGTTGTTTCACGATCGAGTACATCAGCTGTATTAATAACACCTATAATACAAAGAAAGTAGAAATTAACCAAATATTGCTTGATCCTTGCAAATTCACCATATTGGATGTTTCAATAATAATCCTGTATGTCTTACTGATTATATTTATACTACATAATACTAGTCAAAATAAAATAATTTAGTTTGAGGTATAGTAATTATGGTCAATGATTTTGATCAGCTCACTTGACTGCTTTCATTTTATTCAATTATTTATTATCTGGTTACATCATACACCTGTACATCATACTAACAGTTTCGAAGGAATCAAACGAGACTCAAAACGTTAACTGTTTCTCTCTCCATAGATGCTGCCACACCTGCTGAGTTTCTCCTGCATTCTCAACATTCAATTGAGATTTCTGCAGTATTTTATTTTTATGTCTCATTATGGAATACAGTGAGAAAGCATGTCCTTGTCATGACATGAATTGCTATTTAGATGAAGACTAATATTTAAAGTTCCACTGTTAAGTAAGTAATGCTGAGATGGTTGGTAGATCTGGGATTCCAGTCATTCTGAGCTGACTACCTTAATGACACAACAATAAGACTGATCAAATGGAAAGAGGTAACTTTGCTCAATTATTATTGTATTGGCCCTTTTAATTTACTTTAATGCATTTAATTACAAGTAAAATGCATGTGTCTTTTGCTCAACCATCTATAATGTACTACATTTCTTGATTTGCCTTAACCCTATACAGTCTATAAGATGGAATGATATCCAAATAATCTGCTTTTTTTCTTTGAAGTTGTTTGTAGCACAGCAACTTCTTCCATTTTGAAAGACCTCATTGTCTGACATTTTTCAAAATTGATAGTCAAAAGTTTGGTCAAAGATTTAGGTTTTAAAGAAAAAACATGAGGAAGAGAGAGAGAGACTTTTCAGAACTTGAGATCTGGACAGCAATAAGCATAGCCACTGATGGGGAATCAAAAGTGGGAATGCACAAGAGGCCCAAATTGGAGAAATGCAAGATATGGAAGATTGTGGACGTGGAGGAGATCCCTCAGAAGCGATGCCTCTCCATAAATACTAAGGAAAAGGTTGGTGTAGATATAGCAATCCCAGAGGAGCAAAGTGAAATATGGGACAAAACAATGAGAAATGAAATGCTAGAGGAGTCAGATTTCTTGAAAATGGTTAAGTTGCCAGGGCCAGATAGATTGTTCCCTAGGATGTTGAAGGTGGTCAGGAAGGAAATAGTAGATGCTCCGAAGATTATTTTCTGATCTTCACTAGACACAGGTTAGGTGCCAAGGACTGAACAAACTGCGGTTCTGTTGTTTAAAGTACAAAAGGAAATGCCAAACAATTATAGGTCAGTTAGTTTTACGTCAGTGGTGGGAAAATTGTTAGAATTAATCCTAAGAGATCAGATATACTATCACTGAGAAAGGCATGAACTATTTTAGGGATAGTCGGTATGGCTTTGGCCCTACAAATTGATTGGATTCTTTGATGAAGTGACAAGGAGGATCAATGAGGCTAGTGGACTAGATATCTTCTACATGGATTTTAGAAAGACATTTGACAAGGTCCCATATAGCAGACTGGTCAAAAAAAGTAAAAGCCCATAGGATACAGGGTAATGTGTCAAATTGGACCCAAAGTTGGTTTACATACAGGAAACAAAGGGTAATGGTTGATGGCTGCCCTTGCAAATGGAAAGCTATTTCTAGTGTTCCATAGGACTTGGTGTTGGGACCTTGCTGTTTGTTTTATACATTAACGATTTGGACTTGAACATGGGGGCCACAATTGGGAAATTTACAGACAACACAAACACAGCCATGTAAAGGATACTGTAAGCTGAAAACCTCATCCATCACATGGCTTGGAGTTTGTTTTCATCACCCATCCAGCACTGTCTCGTCATCCCCTCACAGCAGATCTGCTGCTTTTGCCATCCATGCCTCAGGCTCACTTTGTACATTCACTCAGCAGTAAACATAGAAGAGACAAAGCTTCTAACTGGAGAGTTGGGTCATTTCAGAATCATGCTCGCCCATATTTGCAACACTGTTTGCAGGCCTGATAAGATGCTATTGTGGGCCACAGTCAGGCAATACTGATTTAGAAGGACAAGGGCAATGGATGTATGGGAAATCTACAACTTTCTCAAGCCACACAACATACGGAGTTAGAAGTATATTACTGGCCCTTTCATTTTTACTAGATCGAGTTCATGGAAATCCCTGTTTAACAAGCATACCAGATACACCCAAGTGACTGAATCAATTCGAGAAAGTATCTAGGGATGGGTAATAAGTGCCTAGCCAGCAATCCTCATCTTGTGAATGATTAAAATGCCCAAAATCAGAGTCTTGGATCTAATTAATGTCTCAAGCATCTATTTTTCTTTAAAATAGGGAATTCCAAAGACTCATAACACAGTTTAAAAATCTCATCTGTCCTAAACACTATCCAAATAACCTGAGACTATGCTCCCAGTTTGACAGCCTGTAACTAGAAGATATCTTTCCTGTAAAAGACCTCTTAAAAGAAATGGCATCAGTATTATTTCTTCTAAATTCCACACTCTGGGACTCAATCTACTTAATCTGTCCTCATAGGTTGGTCCACTAATTAAGGAATTAATCTAGTGAACCTTTATTGCACTATTACTAAAACAAGGCTTCAGCAACAATCAGAATGGAAAGGAGACCTCAAAAGTCTGCCTCCTACATCCTAGACTCATATTTGGAACATCTGGTGTGAGAGATGTGAGGAATTAATATGAGGTGATGCTTGTCAAGGAAGGAAGGAAGGAAGAAGCCAAGCCAAATCTCATGGATGCATTGCATTCATGGATTTGAGAAACAAGCATGTGAACTTAGAGGCAGTGACCTAAGCTGATCAAGTACCTTGGTAAGGCACATCAGACATCAAAGAACCCTGCAAGAGGCTAGAGAAGAAACTGTGGCTGGCTGATCTATTTGCATCATTAGCCACAGGAAAGGTCCTGGGAGACTGGAGGTAGCAAATGTTGTGCCTTTATTCAAGGAGGGCAACAAACAAACAAACAAACAAACAAACAAACAAAGAACTATAAACCAGTAAGATTAACATCTGTGGTAGGTAAGTTAGTTGAGAAGATTCCAAGGGATAAGATATACATGTATTTGGAAAGACAGGGCTTGATTAGGAGTAGTCAGCATGGGAGATCATGCATCACAAGTTGGTTAGAGTTCTTTCATGAAGTGACCAAGAAGGTTGATGAGGGCAGGGAGTAGACGTAGTCTATATAGATTTCAGTAAGGCCTTTGACAAGGTTCCACATGGTAGGCTGCTCTGGAAGCTTAGTTCGCATGGAATCCAGGGAGAGCTGGCGAATTGGATACTCTGTTAGCTTGATGGTAGGAAATAGAGGGCAATAGTGGAAGGATGCTTGTCGGACTGGAGGCCTCTGCCTCAGGAGTTAGTGCTGGGCTCACTGCTGTTTATGTATATTAGTGATTTGGATGAGAATGTACAAGGCATGATCAGTAAGTTTGCAGATGATACTAAAATAGGCAGTATTGCAGACAGTGAGGAAGGTTATCAGAAATTGCAGCAGGATCTTGATTAGCTGGGGAAGTGGGCCAAGAAATGGCAAATGGAGTTTAATATAGATAAGTGTGAAGTGTTGCATTTCAGAAAGTCAAATCAAGGTAGGCGTTTCATGGTGAAATGGTAGGGCCTTAAGGATTGTAGTGGAATAGAGAAACCTTGGAGTACAGGTGCACATTTCTCCGAGAGTGGAGTCACAGGTAGACAGGGCAGTGACGGTGCCTTTTGGCACACTGGCTTTCAGTCAGGGCATTGAGTATGGAAGTTGGGAAGTTATATTGCAATTGTACAGGACATTGGTCAGGCCGCACTTGGAGTATTGTTCAGTTTTGGTCACTTTGCTATAGGAAGGATGTTATTAAACTGGAAAAAGAGTGCAGAAGAAATTTACAAGGATGTTGGACAAGCTAGGAGTTTTTTTTCTTTAGAGCATAGGAGACGGATGGGGGGGGGGGGGGATCTTCTAGAAGCATATAAGATCATGAGGGGCATGGATAGGGTGAATGCACCGACTTTTTTCCAGGGTTAATCAAGGACTAGAAGGCATCAGTTTAATTTAAGAGGGGGAAGAATATATGGGAACCTGAGGGGCAACATGTTGTTTTACAGAGGGTATTACGCATATGGAATGAGCTGCCAGCAGAAGTGGTTGAGGCAGGTGCATTAACAACATTTAAAAGACATTTGGACAAATACATGGATAGGAAGGGTTTAGAAGGATATGGGCCAAGTGCAGGGAAATGGGGTTCGCGTGGATGGACATTTTGGTCAGTATGGATCAGTTTGAACCAAAGGGTCTGTCTCTGTGCTGTAGGAGAGTATGACCCTATGACATGCAAACACTGGATTTCCAACATAGCAAAATGAAAACATTCGATGACCCTCACATTTTCCCTGACTGCTTCTGACCAGTCGTTAAGAATAACATCAGACACCAGGTTTATTAACAGTTATTCTTAATACTGTAACTTTAGTGGAGCAAAGCAGAATGACTAGATAATTAAATGTCTATGATTTAAACCCAATCTTCTTTGAAAGTAACTCCCACTTGCACACAGATAGACATACAGAGTTAAGGGATAAATTAAGAAAAAAAAAAAAGAGTTGTAACTGGCTAGTTCAATAATCATTTCAACAATAAGTGTGAAGCCTTTATGAAATTTCCTCAATGATGGATTGTGATACAGGGGTCTGGGATTGAATCTTGTTTAAATTCCAATGTCACTGGCCAACTTGAACAACTTCCATCAGGCTCAAGGAATAGTCACTTATTTCTTATAAACAGTGATTCTTTCCCCAGAACATTCAACAAATTTTTTAAACTGACTATATAACTAGAGACAGGAAAACTCAAACACAGCTGCCCAATCCAGCAGATTCCGAGTGCACTGTCTTTTGACCAAAAACCTAATTCAATCTATGGCATCTTTCTTTGTCAACATTCT